AAATATATATATATATATATATATATATATATATATATATATAATTATTTAATATTGCAAAATAGAGGCATTTTCACTTATTGACCCCACTGTATTTTTCATAGTTTAAAGTAAATATAGATCCATCACCTCCCACAGCAAACTGTATTTATGCATTGCTTACTTGTTGATTCATCCCATCATTTCCCAGTCGTTTACATTCTGATGCTTCAGATCTTTCGGTCCGTGCTGCATTCTAAATAGCAATTTTCTTTCATCGTGCTCACCTCTAACATGTTCATAAACCATTCATGGTTTCCTCTTCACTCTATGATGAAATGAGTTATTTAAACTCGTCAGCACAACAGACGTAACCTCACCCAACTGTCCTTGAGAGGGAGGAGAAAAGCACTCTTTCTTTTTGCTAACTTATGGATTCACATCTAAAGTTGCGTACTTTAATTTTTAAGATGAACGGCCATTTTTATTGTAGCTGTATGTTTCGAACATTTATTATTCTGAGATATTGGATTTTATAGCATGAAAAATGAAGGACAAAGACCACAGGGTTTCAACAAGTGCTTCAGCTAAACTTTGGATCCTTTCCATGACAATATGTGAAACTGTCATGAAGAACTCAAAGATGAATTTTGAAATTGTCCATAACTCACTCATTATGAAACCTCATGTTTTCCACAGGTGTTAGAAACTAGCAGCCTGTTGTATTGCCATTTTCTGACTGTAATGAGCAGAGTGGCAGAGATTGAGAGAGCACTTACCACGTTTACATAAGTCTCCAAATTTTCTATTTGCGCACCGTGTACATCTCTGTGCCTTTCATCCGAGGAGAAAAGACACAGGTGCACAATTCTTCAATAATGGACATCTTCCATTGTAAAAAGAAACAGATGACTCGATATGTGTTTCCCATGATGTATAGATTTTAAAAGCCCAGTTCTGTGTGCCAAAAGCAATTGATTTGATTAAGATTTGAATTGCTTACAAAGACATCTGATCCAAGCATCAGCGGTTGAACGTGAACAACCTATTTGTTTCTTTTCTTTAGAAAAGCCCAAGTTGATTTACAAACCACAAGCACTTTGGTCTGCTTGCTTCTTATAGTGTCTCTCACTGTTTGTGACCAAATTTCCGCATTCACTTTAGCAATCACCTACACAGGAGCACTGCTGTGAGAGGAATCTCGAGTGTCCCATCAAGGCCAGAAGCGAACGAGAGGGCCGCAGTTGATTGAACCCTGTGAAAGCTTTGTTTGATTAGTATGCAAATGGAAAAAAGTCAGTTGATTATGTCACCCACTAGACTCGATGGAAATATGTGTTTGAGATCACCTCTGTGTAGAATACTGTAGTTCAGAGCTTAGTGTTGGCAAGATTGTCTGATTGACTCTTTTCATCTGTATCTTACTTGTTTTGTAGGCAATGAAAGTGGTGTCTAAGAAGAAGCTGATGAAACAGTACGGTTTTCCCCGTATGTATGGCATTTAAATTAAGATCTCGTTTGAAACCAGATGTATGCAGATGTTATGCACAGCAGATGTTGTCCTGTGAGGCAGATGTTGAGGCAGTCCTCTAAACCAGCTGAAGAATTCCATATTTAAATGAAGCAGCATTCTTAGTTGCTTTTTTTCTTTCACTTTGCAGGCCGCCCTCCTCCCCGAGGTCCTAAAGCAGCCCAGGGGGAGCAGCCCAAAGTGCTTGGTCCTCTGGAGAGGGTTTACCAGGAGATAGCTATCCTGAAAAAACTGGACCACCTCAACATAGTTAAACTGGTTGAGGTAAGGATTGTGGCCATATTCATTCATTCATTCATATAATCCACTGTTAATGAACTTCTGCTAATTAATAGTGAAAATAATAATAAACAAACTTCTGTTCTTTTCTTCTAAATGTTCTTTTCTTCCACACTGGGTCTTAGGAAAAGCCAGGTGTGATAAAAAATGAAATAGTAAATAATAAAATAACAAAAACACAGAGAGATGAAATTGGGAAGGAATTGAACTCAACTGCACTAACAGCTCAATAACCAAGCTATATTTTGGACTAGTCATGTGTCATTATGTAATTTGTGCCAAAGAGGGGACAAAATAATAGCAACATTGAAAATCAGCTAGGAGTAAATCTGTTGAACAGAGACACGCTTAATGCTCCTGAGAATGGGATGTGGAGAGGAGTGCGATCGATCTCAGGATGAAGAAAAGGAAGGTAGAATGGAGGGATGCTAAAGGAGAAAAGCGCCTTTCCTTCTCTCCCCTTGTGGTTCCGTCTGAGTGCTCTTCAATCACAGCAGCACCCATGCACATCAGCAAAATTAGAAAAGAGGGGTGAGAGAGTGCTTGTGAGATAGAAATTGAATCCGAGCATGAAAAATGTTTAAAGGAAACTTAGAAAGTGAGGCAGAGGAACCACCTACACTCCAATCACCTACTGCCAGCCCAAGTATAGTCTTAATGCAGGAGTGTGTGGCCATTAGGAGCAACACAGAAATGGTGCTCTGCTGGCAGTGAAGGATGAAGCACCTGATGCTTATCAAATCTCATCCGCAGTGTAAAACTAAATGTAGCAGCGCTGTGCCAGTAGCTTGACTGTTTATTTATTTATTTTAAATTAAGTGTTACTTTTCCATCTAGCTTGTCCAGAAACAAGCAACTTTTTCCAACAAGCAGTGGTGTAGAGTGATATACGCTTCAGCATTTAAATTTTTTTTTTTTTTCCAATCACATTATATTTGCACACACAGCCCTATAGCTGAGCAAGCTAAGGAAATACATGGTCTTTGAAAATGTTGTCTCTCATATGTATTGTTGGACAGTCTGAGGTTTTTCTCTGCCTAATACTGTAGTTGTTAAAGCATTTCCCTACAAAGCTCCTCTGTAATGTTTGCTGCTGTAGATGCCCTTATTTTTTGATGTTGAAATCCCATATGGCGTGTAGTAATGAGTAGACTCAGGCCATGTCCACACGTACACAGGTATTTTTATAAACAGATTTTCCTTCTTCCGTTTTAAAAAAAATCTCCATCCACATGAAAACGCAAACGCATGCTATGAAGCACTGTCAAGAGCCTGCCAAACCAACAGGTGGCGATATAATCTCAACCGTAAAGCCATGTTGACCAATCAGAAGCCTGAAAAAGTCTCCAGTAGGCGGAGATGACAGCGCAGGCGCCGACCTCACAAGCCAAAAACTCCGGTTTCGCTGTCTACACGATAACACTGCAACCGGAGTTTTTGAAAATCTTCACCCTGGCAGGCGTTTTCAAAAATGTTTGGTTTCAGTGACCTGGTGTGGCCTAACCGCGTAGAAAAAGCTGCGGTTTTAAAAATAACCGCGTTCGTGTTAAATTTAATTTAATTCACAAAATTCTACAATAGCTTTCAGTTATTAATAACAGTTGTGTTATATATACTGTAACACATTTGAGCATTTTTAATAATTCCACAGATTTTCCCAATAAAATCAGTGAAGAAAATAAATGTAAAAAAAGATAAACTCAAGTCAGATTTGCTCTGGACCTACTAATGGGTGTTAGAGATTTTCCTAGACGTAGAAACCTGGACAGAATATCATACAGTGCCTGAAGCAGGTGGTGTTTTTAATAAAGTTTGTATTTCAGGTGCTGGATGATCCAGCGGAGGACAACCTTCACATGGGTATGTTCTTTTTTTTAAGTATAATTTTAGTGGTAAAATGCCACCTATGTGTCAAAGATTCAGCAAATGATGGTGTTTTCACAGTAGCTAACGCTAGATCAGTTGTCATTGTGTCAAAGCTGTGCATGCTCAGTCTGAAACATACATTAGACCCATTGTGTTGTACAACTAATTACACTACAGTTTACAAAGGTTTAGGGTCAATATGATTTTTTTAAAGAAAAAAAATGAATTCAAGAGCACATTAAAACTGGTCAAAAGTGACAGTACAAACCTTTGTTACAAAAGATTTCTATTTCAAATAAATACTGTTCTTTTTTTATTAATCAAAGAATCCTGAGAAAATTTTTTTATCACCGTTGTATCACAACTGTTTTCAACATTGATAATAATAAGAAATGTTTTTTGAGCACCACTTCAGCATATTAGAATGATTTCTGAAGGATCATGTGACACTGAAGACTAGAGTAATGGCTGCTGAAAATTCAACATTGCGGTCATAGGAATAATTTAAAAATATATTAAAATACAAAACATCTATTTTAAGTTGTAGTAATAGTTCACAATATTGCAGTTTTTACAGTATAATAGTATAAGAGACTTAAATATAAAAAAAAAATCTTACTGACCCCAAACTTTTTGCTATTGTATTAGTATTTTAATCATTAACATTAAACCTATATTTACACATCATCCATGCTTAACTATTTTTTTTCTAAAGATGTGTTCATTGGTTGCAGTATTCAGCTGTTTACTCCCATCGCTAGTAGTCTCATCATATCACTGCTCTTCTGCATAAAATGAAACTTCACTTTTGTCAGATCAGTGTCACTCATATCGTCTCAGATCACCAACTCTCATTCAAAAAGAATGACCTCTGTGCACTTTGTCGCTGCAAAAATATGTCAGTATGAAGTTTACCATTACAAAACTTTACTTTTTAATGAAAAGCAGACAGTGGCGTGTTTCAAACAGATCAAACTGTGCAGCCTGTGTGAAGTGAAGGGCTGAAGGGAGAATCTGTAGAATAAGTGTGTCATACGTATGACAAATGTAGTTGGCTGCTCTGACTTACACTGTAGCAATGAATATAAGGTGTTTGTGCTGATGGACTGCTACACAATCCTAAATGACTTCACACCACTGTGCAATGGTGTGAATAAAAGCACACATCATACTTATGTGTGAAAAAGAGTGGGGTCATTTAAGAATATGACATACTATATGAGGACTGTGAACATCACATTTCATTTTATAAAGTGCACTGAATAATGGATTTATCAATAATGTCTTTTCACTCTCATTTTGCTTTAATGACTCTCTTTCTCTCTGATCTTTCCGCAGTGTTTGAGCTGATGCAGAAGGGGTGAGTATTCTGTGTGTCCACTTAGACCTCTTTTGTGCATAATTGATGCTTTCGCCACACTTTCTTCCATCCTCTATCGTTCCAATAATCACCTTTTCCCTTCTTCATCGACTGTCTTGTCCCATATATCTGTCATCACTTAGATCTCACTCAGTTTCCCCTGTTTTCCTCCCTTGTTCCAAAGGGATTAATTAAATAGTTATGTTCTCACTTTCTCACTCAGTCTCTTGTTCACTTCTTTTTCTAAATCAGTTCTTTTGCTTTGTTTTTGTTTTTTTTTGTTACTGAATAGACATTTTTCTTACTGCATATAAAATAATTGCATTGTTAATCTTTTCAGTATTCCTTCTGGTACTTGTAGTTTTATTTATTCTGTTGCTTTTTCTGTGTTTCTAAATCCATAAAAAGCTAATTTAAAGGGCAGCAGTCTTCCAGTTTATTATAAGACTTTTTTTTTTTTTCAAATGTGACATTATGCTTTGGTGGAATATGAGTATTTGCCAAGTGGCCTGGCTTTGTTTTGGAGAGAAATGTTGTTTGTGGGCTTCTGCCTTGAAAAGAGCAGATTAGAACTTTCTTTGCATAATTACAGAATGGTCTATTTTCTCTAGACCTGGTTGAATATGTTTGGCCTTTCGGCTCAGTCGTGATTCACTGCCTGTGGGTAATGAATGAAATGGCCTTCGAGGACCCTGTTTTGTGCTAAGTGGTTTTTGTGATTGGTTTTTATGTAAATCTCACAGTCACAGTTCATTTGAAGGATTCTATCCACTGTGTGTGCAGTCCTGTAGTTTCCCAGCATCCTTTGTTCTCTTGCTGATGTCTCACAATCACAGGGCTCACTTGCCCAGTGCTGCATTCTCACATATGTCTTGCAAACATTTGTAATTCTGCTGAATTAAATAGATCACTAAAGGCTGGAATACACACTACACAACCCAGATTTTTACGCTGATTTACAGTCTGGGGAAGTTGACACTAGTTGCCAAAAGTCAGAGCCAGACTGCAGATATGAGTTAACCAGTTTCATTAAAAAATATAGCTACAAGCAGCGATACGGGGAACATGGTAAACATCCGGTTCAGAATTGTAGGTAAGAATTAACAGAAGTTCAAATGAAAATGAATACAGCATAAATAAAAACATTTATTTCTATTCCTGGAGGAATACAGATTAGTACACTGCTGATCTGGATAATAAACTAATCAAAATGACACAACAGTACACACAATTTCATAAAGTTGCACCACACGAGAATCTCCAGGTCAAGTGTCTGTCACCCATCTAGTTGCGCCACTGGGAAGATGGGTGTTCACACAGATGCTGAAGTTCAGAAGTTAAGCTGAGTATCAATTCAAAATAATACATTTGTACATAAATACACAATGTCGTATTTAATCGTTTCAGATTAGATCATTCTTGGAAAGGTACAATGCCTGCAACAGAATCAACTTCTGCATCATTTCTTGCCACAGTACCTCTTGCAGTCTGGGCATGTGTCACACTTAGTTGCGAACCCACAACATGAAGCATTCGGGATCCGTGATGTAACACATTGAGCCAGTCACTCATGCACATTCAGCAGGCTGCTGAGGAGAGGTTTCAGTGCGAGAATGAGCTCCCAAAAAAGTTCCATAGGACGTTAACTAGATTAGCATGCAAAGCTAACGTAGCTTATGGTTAACTTGATAGCTAAAGAGCCACATTAAAAAGAATGGCAACCTGTTAGCATGTTAACCAATTAGCATGCTAAGCTAACTTGCATTAGTCAACAAACACATGCACGGTCTAATTCGGAGAGGTATTTCTCGGGAACTGTAGCGAATATCAAAAATCTGTTCGGTCCTTTCTTTGTGGCTCAGTACAAAGATCATCTGATCCGATTTTGGACAAAATTGGACACAATTTGTAGGAGGACCAGTGAAAAAACTGTTTTTCATTTACTTCATTATGGCGGACAGGCACATTAATGGAAAATGAGAAATGAGATATCGTCAGAATCATCATAATCCACGGAATGAAAGGATACAAAAATAACAAAATTTGGACAATGTTTTCAAAAGTTATAACCGTTTTTGCAAATATCTTTATATGGTATGGTAGGTGGCGCTGTGTTCAAACTTCTCTGGTACCTGCGGGACATGCTGTCAATGATTCCTACTAATTTTATATATGTCAATTAGTTCAAAAGATATTGCAATTTATGACAAATTTCAAAATGACGGACATGCGGTTTGTCTGATCGACATCCACAGATTCGACATTACCCAAGGAATCCATAGACACAAAGATCATAATTTTCTGACTAACAGTTCAAATGTTATTAGCAAAAATAGCTTTTTTTGTATCTCATGAGCCATAGGTGTTGCCATGGTTATGATGAAACGTACCAAGTTTCGTTTCGATTTATCAAAATTTGGCAGAGATACACCCTCTGAACCAATTTTGGGTCAACATTAAGTTTACAGCTTCATAACTCTTTTTTCACCAGTAGGACATAAAATTCTGTTCAGTCATTTCTATGCGGCTCAGTCTAAAGATCATCTCTGCCAATTTTAAGTTATAACAATAAAAAGTCAATTTTTTAATTGGTGGTGGTGCTATAGAGTTGGTCCTAGGGACCCCAAAGTTGGTCAGATCACTATTTCTTGATCATCACTACAAGTGTGCCAAATGTAATCATTTTCCTATATTCCCTTTATAGGTCTGCTATTGACTCCCATTGGGTAAAAATAAAGTAACAGATACAATAGGGGCCACAGCCCCTTTGGGGCTTGGCCCCTAATTACGTTATGTATGATGGCCACAGACACAGATTTTTTAGCTTTAGAATATGATTCCATTTAATCGGAGGAAATCAAACATGTTTGATATTTTGAGCCGATTTTAGAACACATACTGTTTTCATTTGTCATGCATCTCTTAGCAACAAGGACACATGTCTCTGTGTGAGTTTGTTGAGTTTGGAATGACTTGGTAGTGTGTGATCCTCAGTTGTTTATTGTATCAAAAGTCTCTCCGCTTATCATTTCATTCAGTATTTCTCTTCATTAATCATTGCTGTCTATTACTGTCTTTTATTAGTACACTCTAAAAAATGCTGGGTTGTTTCAACCCAACTGTGGGTCAAATATGGACTAGCCCAGCTGTTGGATTAAATTTTTACATTAAATTTTTAACCCAACAGTTGGGTTAGTCCATATTTGACCCAAAGTTGAGTTGAAACAACCCTGCATTTTTTAGAGTGTACTTTATCAGTTAACTTACAATAAAGTGTCTCCATTGCTCACCAGCCCTGTGATGGAGGTCCCCAGCGACAATCCGTTCAGTGAGGACGAGGCCCGCCACTACTTCAGAGACATTGTTTTGGGCATCGAGTACTGTGAGTCATTTCCTTTATTTTAAAAAACATTTTCAAATTGCTGGGTTGACCTCACTGAGTTCCATTTTTAGTTTTTAAGGAGACCACTTTGACATGGACTTTGTAACAGAGTGTCTGAAGTTAAATAAATCCCAGTAGAGAAGAGCGAAGCAAACTCCTACAGATGAGCGCCTGACATTAATCATTACTTATGTAAAAATAAAGACCCAAGCGTGTTCTGTCTCAAGGAACAGCTCTGTGTTTGTTGTTCTAACGCATCATGGCATCCTTTTCGGCTAATGAAGTGAGCGAATGTGGCAGTGCGCTCATGTATTTGTGCGTGGGGGAGGTCATCGTATCCTGATGAAAACAAGTCTGTGCTATTTCTAAAGGGCGTTCTGATCTTCTCTCATCTGTCAAAAGAAGAAATTTGATTTTATGTTGCAACATTTCAATAATTACATACTGACGGTTAAAGGAATATTCTGGGTGCAGTAAAAGTTAAGCTCAATCGACAGCATTTGTTGCATAATGTCACCACAAAAATTAAAGCGGTAGTTCACCCAAGAATTAAAATTCTGTCATCTTTTATACACCCTCTTGTCTTTCCAGATCGGTATGACTTTCCTTCTTCGGTGGAACACAAAAGGAGATATTCTTAAGATTGTTTGTAACCAAACATTTTCGGGACCCATTGCCTTCCATTGTGTATAAAAAACACTCAAAATGTCTTCTTTTATGTTCTACGGAAGAACGAATATCATAGGTTTGGAAGGACATGGGGGTGAGTGAATGCCTGAATGTTTATGTTTAGATGAACTATCCCTTTAATTGTTACTTGTTTCTTAAAAAAAACTAAATCTGGGTTACAGTGAGGCATTTACAAAGAAATCCTTGAAAAAAAAAATCTAATTACTTCCATTGTTAGTGTCATCATGACATCGATTTTTGCTTTTTTGAAAGAAAACAAGGGACAAGTCTAAATAACTTTTTTATAATGATCAACATATATGTTGACTGAGCTTAAATTGTATTAAGCCTTTAAACAAGATAGTAGTTTAAACAAAGAGTTGATTGCCAAGTGTCTGTTCTGTTCATCACACGGAAACTCAGCTTTCATCAATTCATTTGAATCTTATTAACCAGGCGACACTCGCTGTGGCAACCGTCTGGATGGCAACAGGCCATTTGCATGATTCGCCACAAATCAGTCTGTGTTAACAATGAACTTCTTTGTGTGTGTGTGTGTGTGTGTGTGTGTGTGTGTGTGTGTGTGTGTGTGTCGGTAATTCGTGGACTGGAATCAGAGTATGTGTCCATATTCCATTAATTTCATTAGCACTATGCTAGTTACCTCAGGGAGCCATGTCAATAGAATTAATTAATAGTAATCTAAGAAATGTGTGTGTGTGTGTGTCATACTCCTTCACTTTGCAGGCCTTGAGAGACTCCTTAGATGAACTGTGGCATACTCCATGTGTCACATTCACCTTGCTTGCTGACTTTGATGAAATAATTATATGCAATAACCTGCTAATACTTTGAACACGTCTTTGTTCCTTTATGAATTTTCTTTTTTCATTACCATGCGTGTCATCTGAAGATGTCTGAGACGTGGCTCTTGTCACATATAACCAGTAATGGCAGATGACTGAAAGATGATAAGTGATGGGCAGGTTATCTTTGATTGACCACTTGAGACAGGAAAGCATCTATTAACCAATCAAGTTCATCTTCTGTGTGCACGGCCCAGAGTGACCTTCTTGAACCTGTCTGCGGTTCCGTAGTTAAGCTGAGAGCTCCTGCTGTCAGACACACTTGACTTTGTACCTCCTCTTCACTGGCTGTGCTCAACTTAGTAACTTTATTAAACTTTAATATCATTAAACATCCAAAACACAGTTCATTTTTTCTGATTTCCTGCTAGGCCAGGTGATCACAATTAATCATAGATGAAACATACAATACAGTATTCTGGTGTTGCAATGAGAAGATTGATCCTCACATGAACCTTCGTTTAAATATAACATTTGTTTTGTAAATTCTGAGATTTAAAGCTAATTGTCAGCAAACTGCACTTTTGAAATGGCTCATTGTTCTATAATTCTTTTTGATGATATACCCAAAACATAAATTTTCATTTTATAACACTTATATTCTCTCTCTCTTTGCTCAGTGCACTATCAGAAGATCGTTCACAGAGATATCAAACCATCAAATTTATTACTTGGAGATGACGGTCATGTCAAGATCGCAGATTTTGGGGTCAGTAACCAGTTTGAGGGTAACGATGCCTTGCTCTCCAGCACTGCTGGTACTCCTGCCTTCATGGCCCCAGAGACGCTGTCAGACAACCGCAAAAGCTTTAGTGGAAAGGTAATGTGTGTCTGGGGTGATTTTTTCTGATATGTGTTGTGATAGGCCAATCATTCAGACTGATTAGGCTTAAAGGTGCAGTATGTAATATTGACAGCTAGCGGTTGAAATTGGTACTGCAGTCCAAATTCAAAATATTGTCTTTCCGCCCCCTCCTCCTCAGACGTGATGCTCCAGCAAGTTGTCAGATTCATGACACGTGACAGGAATGAGTGCAACTGACAATGGAAGGTGACAAACCTTACACTGTAAACTGATGAGTTTATTTATCTGCGTTTTAATGTGCCTGTGGTCATAGAGCTTTTTTGATGAATGCCAAGGCTTTTAGGTCAGTTAGAGATCTGCATCCTCAGACCCAGTTCATTTGCTCACTTCCATGGCGGCAGTATGCTGTGTTTTCTGCAAACTGGCAACCCAGGCTGTCGAAATATTATTGGTTAAACTGTCATTGGGCAGAATCACACAGACCAAAACAAAAACAGGCATTCCGACACAGAATGCACAAGTAGAATAACTGGCTTTAGCTTTGTTTTTCGGAAAAACAAGTATGTGAACTTAGCATGTTTTCTGAATATCTGCAAAAGTATTATTGTGTTTTTATGCTTTAGTACAGTCAAAACATTACGTACAGCACCTTTAAAATTGGCTTAAATAAGCATTTTGTTTATGAATGGGACTTTGCTGTTTCTCTCATGGACTCATGTGTCATAGAGCTACAAGACGGTTCAAAAGTTTGGGGTCGAGAATAACCAAGGCTGGATTTATTTGATCAACATACAGTAAAAACAGTAATATTGTTATTATATTATATTAAAATAACTGTTTTCTATTTTAAATATTTTAAAATGTCATTTATTCCTGTGATGGCAAAGTTTAATTTTCAGCAGACATTACTCCAGTCTTCAGTGTCACGTGGTTCTTCAGAAATCATTCTGATATGCTAATTTGGTGCTAATGAAACATTTCTTATTTTTTATAAATGTTTAAAAAAAAAACAATGTTTTGATGAATAGAAAGTTCAAAATAAGAGCATTTGTTTAAAAGAGATTTTTTTTGTAACTTAATAAATGTCCTTGCTGTCACTTTTGATCAATTTAATGTGTCTATACTGAATAAAAGTCTTTAAAAAAATTACTGAACCCTCACTTTCGAAAGGTAGTGTACGGTGCTGAAGATTTTGTTAGCCAGTTTCATTTGCCATTGCAGTCAGATGACAAAGAGCAACCAATTTGTTCTTAAAAATATTCTGTTTAGCATTACAAAGAAGAAAGGCATAGAAGTTTGGTGCATCATGAGAGTAAATAAATGATAACTTCATAATAAATGAAATTTGATTGAACTGTCCCTTTAAGGAATTCCATTCATTTCAATAGCTCCAAGCTGTAGAACTCTCCTGCATCACTAAAACAGAAGTTGTGTTTTCTTCAGGCTCTGGATGTGTGGGCTATGGGAGTGACCCTCTACTGTTTAGTGTATGGAAAGGTGAGTCAGCTCATGTGCTGATATGATCAGAGTGATAGCAGTAATTCTTCATTGTGAAATTATCTATCAGAATGATCAATGGATGGGACAGTGTGCTACTGCAGTGACATTTGTGTGATTGATGATTTTGATCACTCATCCATCTCCCTCCTCTCCCTCTCCTCTGTTTTTCTTCCTTGTCCTCCAGTGCCCATTTATTGATGAGTACATACTGGCACTTCACAGTAAGATCAAGAGTAAGCCGGTGGAGTTCCCCGAGACGTAAGTCGGCCCTCGCTGTTTACGACGCATCTGCTGTCTCACAGGAGCAGATACAGAGAGAGGAAATGTCAGAGATGTTTGAGTGTATGGCGATGTGAGCTGAATGCTGTATTGATGTGTGTTGGTTTAGTATGATATTCGTGTATGCTTGTGCAAGTCTGTTTGAATGATATGTTGATGAAGTCTGTTGTCTGTGTGTGGAAGGCCAGAGGCCATCCGGATACATGTGATCTGGTGTATGTGTTTGGACAAGTCATCAGCTAATGAAAGAGCGTCTCTCTCTAACACAGTGGCCGAGCTAACTGTTCACAGTGTCATCATTTTGAATCAAATTCTGAATGTCTACATGACCAGGGGTTCCCAATATTTTGTGAGCTATGATCAGATGTTTCTATTTTGAAGTGCCCTGACATGTTCTAACCTTTCATATAAGTGCGATGATTAATAGATGTAAAAAAAATTACATTTTTGTTATTTGACATTTTATTTTAAAATACATTTTTAATGTTCATTAGTCTTTTATTTATTTATTTATTTTTTCATCTTTATCACAATCTTTGAAACCTCCTGAGGTGGATGGATGTGATGCCTGGTTGGAAATCCTGCTATACATAATGAGACTCAATTATATGCAAGACAATTATGTCCAAAATAATGCAAGACAATTCTTATATATGATATAATATTTATATAATGTTGCACTTATACCTTTCATAAGCTTGGGGTTGGGAAATTGTTTTTGTGTTTTTTGTCTCTTATGCTCACCAAGGCTGCATTTATTTGATCAAAAATACAGAAAAATAATACTGTGTAAAAGTAAACACTAAGATGCTATTACAATGTAAAATAATTGTTTTCTATTTAACTGTATTTCAAAAGTAATTTATTCCTGTGATAGCAAAACACTTTTTTTCAGCATCATTACTCCAGTCTTTTACAAGATCCTTCGGAATTCATTCTAATATGCTGATTTGGAGCAGGAAACATTTCTTATTATTATAAATGCTAAAAACAATTGTGTTGCTTACAGATATTTTAGGAATAGAATGTTCAAAAGAACATCAAGTTAATACATCCCTGCTGAATATTAATTTCTTTACAAAATAATAAATATAAATAGGGGGGGGGTGGGGGGGGTTAAACCAAGTGCTGTATTAAAACTCTACTGTAACTGTATATAATATACAGTACTGTATATGTACTGTATTTGCTATAACTGCCTCTTCTCCTCGCTTTTTTAGTTTCTTTTTTAAGCATAAACCTCACAAAATTTTGTCAAGTCTATGCTTAAAACAAGAAAATAAATTAGATAGATATATTCAACAGAGTCAGCCAATTCTAGTGATATTATATGAATCCATCTTGTATTAAGGATGTTTAGATAGTTGTACCAGGAAGAAAAATACTCTGCTCTTCTGTACTGCTTCTGTAGTCTACTGTACAATACCATTTTATTCTCTACATTAAGTTATAACAGCATTAAAGATAGTTATTAATCCTTTAGCCTCACCCTACCTATTAAAGGTGGTAGAGTGTTTTTTCTCTTACATACAGGTATTGTGTTTTTTATGTTCTTCTGTAAGTTAACTATCTCTGTCCAACCTCCTCTTCTTCTGTGTTTAGTTCAGCTGAGCTCTTCAGCTCTCTTGATTGTTACAGAGGCCGTTTGACAGTCAGTGTATGTTTGAAACAGTGTTTCTCTGTCTGTAGTGTCTCATCTCTTGTAAAAGCATGCTGAGTATGATTACATGGACAACAATAATCCGATTTTAACACGATTAAGATAATACTCTGATTAAGAATCTACCATGTAAACAGAGATTTTTGATTACCTTAATCCGGCTAAAGTCATATTCGAAGTAAACAGAAATCGAATTAAGACATGTGGAGTATTCCTATTTTAGTCGCATTGCTGAAGTGCAGTATAGACATGTAAATACCTTAATCACATTATTACCATCGTGTAGGACTTTTCGCCGCATTTTGCGACAGGATACACACACGGCAGTGCTCATCACGAACAAACTATATGTTTATACATGAAATTCTGGAGGGGATGTCGGATGGCGTCACGTGGGACGTAATGACGTGTGCCATTAATCGAACTATGTACTACCCACCTTTTTCTTGTCGTAAAAATGGGTGCGGCCATTTGTAAATTCTATGGGTCTGGCTTCCGGTCTCATCTGCATCCAGCTATTTTTTAGCTGTACAAAACAGTTCGTTTTGCTGCTTGATATTGAAAATTGGTGTGTCTTATCATATTATTTTAATGTATTATCTTATTTATGAACACACTGGTTTGTAGTGCAAACAGTTTTACTGTTTACTGCACGTTGTTATTCTCCTCGTTATTTACCTATAGCGGTTAATGAACCGGAAGTCTCACCCATAGGCTTACTTCCGCGTTGAAGAAAAAGGTGGATAACATGTAAAACGGGAACATGAAAGGAATATTCTAAAAGCAACTCATGTAAACACCATAATCATAATATTGGCTTATTTAGAATAAGGTAAATAATTAGATTACTGATGTCCATGTTAACGTAAATAATGTTTAGCCGTACAGTCAGATGTTTTGTTTTTGTTTTACTGCTTCAGCTATTTGCTCTTGTGTTTCTGTGATATCTCAGTCCAGCTATCAGTGAGGGTCTGAAGAACCTGGTCTCACAAATGCTGGACAAAAACCCAGACACCAGGATCACCATTCCTGAGATCAAAGTAAGTCTACATAAAATGGAAAGGAGTAATACCTTTAACCATCTTTACAGCTCTGTATTGCAAGATATTAAGTTTCAAAGATTCACTGAGGACTTTATCTATTTAAACTGAAAGGAATGACCACATTTGACCTTTTTGATTGGGATAGGATTATTTATTAATGTGTTTTTCCTTAAAAAATCACCTGAATTTTCCTTCATGCATACCAGCAAGAGAGTACAACATCACTTAATATTGAAATTACAGTCATTATCTCAAAAAGAATTGTCCAAAGAGCATTCCCAAGAGTGTCCCATTATTCTGCACTCTTAAAACAACAGTTTCTATCAAAGACCATTCCTGAGCCACGTCCAGGGATAGTGTTAAAATATGACACAGTATGTCTGATAGCTTCTGCACCATCTAGCAGACTTGGTGTTTGGACAGGAACACATCAGATAATCCCCATGGACAGAGATTTTGGTTCAGTTCTGGAAACTTCCATCTGCTGTCTCAGTGTGACAGTGAGTGTGAATAATTAGCGCACACACACACACACACACACTCGGCCGTCAGAGACTCCTGCCTGCATGTCATTACCCAGAAAATGTTCCATTAAAGCAGCGATCCCCAGACCACACGTTAATCAGGGCTGCACGGCCTACATTCACTCAACAGCTCTGCTCTCATATCCTTCAGACTAACTGTGTTTGTAGGACAAATATTTTATTTCTTTAATGATTTACTTATTTGATGGGTGGATAGAAGAATGGATATATGGAACAATCTATGGACATTTGAATGGATGGATAGATGAGAGGATTGTTGGATGAAGGATAGAAGGTTGGATGGACCAATGAATGGATTAATGGAAGGATAGATGATGGATGGATGGGTGGAAGAAAAGATGTGTGGACAGACCAATGGATAGATGAATGGAAGGATAGATGATGGCTGGAGGGATGAAACAATAGATGGATGAATGGATGTATGGA